CATGAGAGAAATGGAGGAAACTGAAGGAGATTGCAAATCTCCTTCAGGATGGTCGAGCATTAAGCTGGTTAAAGCACGCAATCCAAGGTAAGACACCAGAAGAAAGAAAAATTGTAGGACTGATTAACAAATGGTGACACAATAACGCCTGGGACCGCTATCGGTTTTCGTCTGCGGGTGGGTTATTAGCGGCCCGGGAGCACAGCATTGTTGAAGAGCCAGTCATACCAGCCAGTTTTTTGAACGATTGTCTCGAGAACTGCGGAGAAAAGCACGCTTGGGTGTCCTTTTCATGATACTCTAACAAGCCTTGCCAGACTCTGCAGGGACCGAGCAATCAATTGCCGCCCGACTTACCAGCCTCAGCCACACGAAACCATGGCCCGTGGTAAGAAGAATCCGGTACAGCGCCGGGACACCAGGGCATCCTCAGCCAAAAAGGAGGAAGCACCTGTCGCCGCACCAGAACTGACGTTGCCAGAACCGGTCGACGACCCGGAGGAGACACCTGCCCAGACTCCGCCAGCCTAGATGTAGGCCCTATCGAGGCACCCGTCACCCAGAAGCCGCTCCAGTCGTGGCGCAGGGAGCCACCTACACCCGCCCACTCAGGCAGCAGCAGCGACCAGGTACCCAAAACACCGAGATTCTGCAGTGCGCACGATGCAACAAGGCGTGGCACTCTGCCTCGTCATGTCGAAGCAGCCCGTCGTGCCGTTACTGTTCCGGCCCACATCCATTCAAGGAATGCCCTCTGGCGAAAGTGGACCCGGACTTTAAGAAGCCCAACGCCAGCCGGAGATGCTCCAACTGCGCAGGAGCACACAGTGCGAGATACATGGGGTGCCCGTATCTCAAAGAATGCAGGAGAACTCTGACGACCACCACCACTCACAACCCAGAGCCGAAGCGAAGATCACAGGCGCCTAGTCCGACAGTTGTGGCACCCACGAACAACGAAATTGCACTTCTAAGGCAGGAAATCAGAACCTTCCAAGAAGAGAACGCAAAACTCAAGGCACTCAGGACTCAAGACAGGGACGAGATGTTAGACCTGAGAAACATCCTACAGGCATCACTTGAGAACCAGAGGAAACTAGAGAAGGAAAGCATAGAAATGGTAACTTTCAAAATCGACCTGATGTCCAACCTAACGGAACTCAAGAAGATGAAGGAAGCAAATGCCGTAGCCGCCAACGAACTTAAAGACAGCCAGAAAAACCTACTGTCTGATGTCTCCATCATCAAAAAAGACCTGACAAACACCAAAGAAAAACTTAAGAAATCAAGCGAAGAATGCGCCAAACTCAGCTCAGCACTGCAAGCCACCAATGAAGTGATAGATACCAGAGAAAACGCAAGGAAAGAAGCGGAACGAAAAAGGCAATCAGCCCTAAACCGCACAAAAGCACAGAGCAAGAATAAACACGGCAGAAATAGCAGACGAAGACCTCGAAGCAATACTGGAGGAAGACAGAAAAGCGAAACAAGCAGCGAAAGAAGAGTCAGACAGAATAGACACAGAACTAGCCAAATACGCGGGATCATACGAAGACAAACTGGCCAGAGACGAACTCGAGAAACTAAACCACGCCCTCCAGTCCAGCCGCCAGGACAGTTGAACCAGCAAACCACCCAGCCCGGAGAACGCCCCACAGCTCGCTACCAGCCAGGCATGATGTGAACCACCCAACCCGTTCGAGGCCACCCCGGCAAACTTTACTAGTCCTTCTCAGGACTAGTAAACTTCCACTCCCAATCACGGCCAACATCGAGATACACGCAAGGAAATACTTCTAGACGCAGTTCGTCACAATTGAAAAAAACTATTGGATACTCCAAACAAATAAACGCAGTCCCAAAATAACCGCCGCTCACTATTGGAGCTGGTTAGGGCGACAGGAACTTTTTTTTTTTTTTTTTCAAACAAACCGCAACCGCAACGCCTGGGACAAACACATCTCCTCCATCCATCTTAAAGGGCGGAGAGCATTCTTGATCGTCACGTGCTGCTCGAAGTTGTGAATTATGAACTTAAATGTCAGTCCACAGAATGGCGTGAATGTTTACTATTTTTTTTTTTTCTGGAAGCTTGGTGGAATACTGATACATGATAAGGCAGACGTGGCTAGTGCCTTGTGTGAGAGCCTGTACAGTTCGGAGGAGCAGATGGATCACTACAGTCTGGTGAGATTGATGTAGCGGGGAGTGACGAGAGGTTCTGGCAGATGCTCGAGGCTCAGAGAAAAAGCAAGACGGACGTTTAATCAGAATGCTACTGGCACCTTAGTATCAGAACTCATCGCTGTCTGCTGAAGATAAGAACGGAGCGATTATGGGAATGCTGTGATGTCGGTTCTTGAATCAAATCAAAATCATTTCTGGAAGCTCACTAGCTCTGCTTCTTGACTGCACATGTACATATATTTGGTGCCCGATATTCGTAACTTTACTAACATGCCCAGTATTTTGGAGGCGTTCTACTACTGCCAGGGAACAATAATATGTAATTGTTTCTTCTACGTTCATCTGATAACACAAATGCGCTGCGCCTGTCTACAACGTGACTGGGAATTTATACAGGCATTTGTTATCTGGGTTAGCCTTCCACGTTGGTTATGTGTGTTATTTTTGTTTTCTACTTTACAGGTAGTGCCTGCCTCAGACCGATTCACAGAAGCCCCGTAATTCTGGTCAGTTCATCAAGAGAAGGCAGGAGCATAACACCCAAGGAGGCTTCTTTAAATACAAAGTCAATACACACTGCTCTGACCTAAAGAATCGTCACGTCTGCTGCTGACTGTTTAACCTTACTTCTGTAGTGAACATCTCATTTATCACAGGCTATGTCTTTAGAAGCCAGCCTGCAGACCTAGGATTTCGATCACATGTTCAAAATAAGTACTTGACTTCTGCATGTTTAGCTCTTAATATAGTGGACTTTGGTGTCCTGAGCATTTAATGTGGTAGTTTATGAACTGGTTGATTTTTTAAAATAAATTATAATTTATGTACATGTCGGGACTATCCGTTCAGAGATTTCCTTCTTCTATACCGTCAGACGTCAGTGTGAATATGTTCAAGGAAAACAGTAGTAACTTGGTGCTGGCATCATAGAGTTTGACCTCAAAAGGAGGTTTAAGTGAGAATTTCTGTATGCGTTGCACTCTTGCAAGTGTTCAGTCAACATTTTTCTCAGTTGCAATTAACATCCCCTTTGGTTAGCTTACCGAATAAGTGATTTAGCCTGTTATCTTCAGTGAGAAGTCTAAAGATCACTACTTGTTCCCTTTGCTCAGCTTGGTAATACAGACTGTTTGTGGGTTGAATATTCAGAATCCCAGTTTGTACTATTATGTTCTTATAAACCTCTTAGCCTCATCAAGTTATATCATGCTGGAGAAGTCTTTCGCTACAAATTTCTAGGCATTCTATTTCCATGTTTTAATGGAAAGGGATCCATTATACTACACCCCTTTTTTGTTTACTGACACGCCATAGAGTGCATTTCTTAGGTCTGCTAGTTATGTATTGTATTTGCTCTACTGTGAAAACTAGCTTTGCATCTCTGAAGATAGCTAAGTATTTATTATACTTCTTTTACAAGGGCATTTCTGCATGCTATGTCTTGGTGAAGTCGGTCCATTTTACAGAAACCCACGACGATTGATGCTAAAGCTATGGAGCTTTGTGTGACTCTCTTGGTAGGCTAACCATTTAAAGACAAAACAAATTGGAGAGAACCCAATGAGACACAGTTGATCCTCTTGCCTTTCAGCAGGTTATGCTTTTCTTGTCCCTACCCTGCTGCAGCTTTAATCCAATGTCTCAAACTCTATGTACAAATGCTTATTGCTCTGCAGAATAGCTGCTTTGTAATGTGCAGTTGAAGGAAACCGTGATTTTACCTACAGCAAAACAAAACTAACACTTCAAAAATCTAAAAACATTTAGTCTCTGTGACCAGCTGTTTAACAGCACTTTCACCCACTGTAAACTAGTTTTTGCATTGCGCGTCCATCATTTTACAGATCTGGCTTATCTGTATGCAAACTGCTAGTTCCTTGCTGCTCAGACCCTAATTAATTACTTCCTGAGGGACAAAAAAAAAAATAGGTCCTAGAACCAATGTTTGAAGGATGGAGGAGGGGCTGATTTTTAAAATCAACATAATAGCATACACACGGTTTACCTCTTACAACAAACGTCTTGAGGTACAGAGGTTTTAACTGTTCCCTATCACACCGATTATACACACACAAATATGTTCCTCTCATTCTGCAACAACCTCCCCATTAGCATGTCGTAGGAGTCGACTAACTAGGGACTTCCTTTGAAGTCGGAGTGCATCTGCCTCAGCAGCAAGGAACAACCAACTAAAGTCAGTAAAACGGATGTACACACAAAACTCAGGCCCTGGAATATGCTCAAGTCCAAATGGACGAACAAACCAGGACTTTCCGTCAGAGCTTACAGCCAGTGAACAAAGATATTGCAACAACCCCTCTCAATTCTGTATTTATCAATGGCCTTCAGAATGTCTCCTTTGTCCACGAGTGTTCCTGTAGCTACTGCTTTTGTTGCCCTTTCATCCCCTCACACTTTATATAAGTCTGGACAGTAAATCAGAGAAAGTTTATGGCTCCTGTAAACCTCAGGCAGAAGGTCAGCATGAATGGTAGACATAGGATATCAAGAATACCCTGGGCAGGAAAGTTTAAAATGTGACATTTCGCAATGGGACAGCTTTCTGGCCTGCCATGTAAGGAACCTATATGATGGTTATCAGTGAGGACACAAAGTTTTAATGTTTGTTTACAGCTAATAACATAGTAAAGATATTTCTACCACTGACCCATGGAAAGATTAAACACAGGATGTTCAAAAAGACATGTCAGTAAACAGAAATGTTTACAATTAAACAAACAAATCATAAAGCACACAACTGAAGTATGAAGTACAACTCAATTTAATTATCTGTAGAAAGATTACAGATGAATCTAATCTCTCTGCAACAACTTCTGTCTCTGGAGCTTCTTCTTGGACACCCTCTTCTTGACTGGTTCCTCATCCCCAGCAGACTTGGGTACGGGTACTGCAGTTTCCTTCTCGGCCAGGACAACTTCAATGTGGCATGGGCTGCTCATGTATGCTGCAAGGGACAAGAAAGGTTTACTTTAAGCATCTTTAAAAAGTATAATTAATAAATTTGTGTCCTTGTTCAAAAAATCTAAATGAAAACCAACAAAAAATTTGAGAATGTATGTGATACTTTTAAAGCACACAAACTGCTAAGGACGCATGTCCTAATGTAATCTTCAACACAGCCTCTTGCTCACCTGCATTGATCGTGTCCTTTGAGAATGATTTGTATAAGTGTTGCAGACATTTTATCTTATTTCTTTTGACCTTAATTATTTGTCTATATTTCATCATTTTAAAAACCCTAAGCTGTGTATTTTCAGGATCTGGTTTATTATGAACAGTATTGTTTACTATTTAATATAAGTTATCAATACTCAGATCATACTTTTTTCGTAGTAATCTCCTAGGCTGTTTATCCATCCTTCTGATATTGTCCTCCCATTGTAACACTGTCTACCTCTTGTCTTCATAACTGTTTACTTCAGTTTGGTTTTCTTCCTTATATCATTTCTAATGGTGCACATTATTAAATGAATCAAAGAAAAAGATTCAACAGGTTAAAGGTGTAAAATACTACTAGTTCAGTAAACTAAAGGTAGCAGATACTGATAAATGTGACCAACTAGTCAAATGATGACTAAGCATTTGCTGAAAAGTGTCCAGCGTACCCACGTTTGATGTGTGCCCAATCATAAGATTTAGAAAATAGGGCAATTTTTGCAACATTGACCCTAGGGGACGCGATCAATGGCTGTTTCTGGTGAACGTATTGCAGACGATCCACTGTGTATTAAACATTTTCACATTTTAATATTTTTTCAAAATAGGATTAGCCCTAACTTTTAGAGTTGAATTTTTTTATATCAACTTATGCAATGCATATGGGGGTCGACACTTCACACTAATGAAGTACAATAGACTGTGTCCCCTAGGGTAGCAGGTTGCAAGGACTGACAATGTTTTTCCCCTACTGTAAGCGGGACTTGAATGATACAGGCACTGAGGTGGATTTGTGAAAATTTAATGCAGTGGACCGTGTTGCATGAAGGAAAAGGGCACATGGATTAAAAAAAGCGGACAAGTTAAAAACAGGTAACAAAAAAACCCACTAATATGGTAACAGTCCTTACATCCCATGCTCACAGGAGCATGCAGAAAGACCTTAATGGAAATGGGTCTTTCTAGCCCATTTGTCAACTGTAATTTTTTTTAATCAAAATCTGCTACTCTTAGATCCTCTGAATAGGCTTGGATCTGTGAAAATATTTCTTTTATTAAATGAACTTACGATTGATGCGTCCATGGGCTCTGTAGGTCCTCCTGCGCATTTTGGGGGCAGCATTCACCTGAATGTGTTCAACCACAAGGTGCTCAGTCGACAGACCCTGCAATATCAACAACATCAATAATGTAAGCAAAAAAAAATTGCACAAAAAGTAATCCTCTACTAAATATTGCTTTCAAAACAATTACTAACCAAATTAAATACAAATTTACTAATCTGTCTATGAAGATTATTAAGTCAAAAAACCTCTTTATGCCAGTGGCTCATGCTCGTGGGAATGGGGGTCAATATAACATCAGTCACACTTACAGAGACAATGTACATATTTAAGACAGGTAGTCCAGAAAGCCAACATGTGCAAACATAAAATCTTGGTGAGAGGGATAAATAGCCACTGTACTATTGCAGCCCCTTCATAAGAATCATCATGTGCCCTGAAGACTGGTGTAGACACTCATGCATCTGCAATGCCTTTTGTCTTGTTGATCGGTTCCACAAATTATGTCCCTCAGTGCCACCTGCTTAATCCATCCGTAATCTCTCTTGGGTTGCTCCTTTTTATTTCATATTAGAATCAGGGCAGACCAACTAGTTCAAATTTTTTATTTACTAATTGAGAAATCAGTTCCCTCTATAGTCTGTAAATGCCAGTTCAATTGAGATGTGTTTTCCAATGTTTATGACAGCTTTTTCTTGAACATGATTATTCGTGCCTAGTGAATCTAATCACTTTTAAAAACATTTTTAACAAGAAATAATATATTACTTTGAATTCAGCATTGCTCTCTGCATTTTTGAGGAGCTGAAGCAGAAACTCGGCACTTTTCTTGGGCCATCGTCCCTGGACTGCCTTCCACTGCTTAGCCTGTAAAAACAGAATTTTAAAATCACATGAAGAATACCTTTTAAAAAGGCATACGTTTTAATGGAAAGAAAAGTTTTATTTAGACATGTATTCCTGCATGAGAGGCACATAGATGAACAAAGGACATTTTTGAACAATGCTCAAATAAGGGGAAAACAGAAAAAAATCTCATCAGGAATTTAAAAAACCCCTTTTTTTCTTTATAAATCTTTATTCTAAACCTAACAGTTGTTACATCCCTTGTGCTACAAATTATTTTTGTAATTTTAAATCACTATTAGCTGCCCCCAAGAATGCAAAATATAGCGGTTTTGTTCAAAACTGAAGAAAACGTATAAAGCACCAAAAACAAGCATAAACTAAAAATGTAGCATTGCAAACAACATACCTGAGAGCATCGCCCAACACCACCACTGAATCGTCGGAATGGCACACACTCTTTCTGTCCGATTACATTCTTCAAGAAACGATTTGCTCGCTTCAGATGCATGCGCTTGATTGCCTGTGCAGTTTCACGGGTATTCTAGTGAACAAAGATGTAAAACAACATACATTAGTTTTTACACAAATTAAATTTGCTAACATCAATACAGAACATTACACATACTATGCTCGCATTTACACATTTTAGACAACACTGTGTTGCAGGAATCTCTCATAGCCCCAAACAAGAATGTTGTAAAAGTAAATCTTTGAAATCAAAGTACAATTTCTTCGAAGGCAGGGAACCAAAATTCTGCATACTAAAAAAATCAGATCTGTGAATGAACGCAAAACTTTAGTTAACGGTCAGTGAATTGGCGGGTTAATACATACCGCCGGCATATTTGTCTCACAACTGTTGATACCATTGATAGACATTTAACATTATAGAGGGTCAATGTGACCCTGTCACTGCTTCTTGGGCGATGTTGACAGGGGTCATAACCTGAGGAATTCAGAGCCGCTGTCGCAGTGGACATGTTAAAATGTTTGTATTTTGCCCTAGCGGGTAACTTCTTAACGGAGGTCGATTCCGGGTCTCTTGCCAACTTTGTTCAGCCAACCTCTTTACTTTTTTTTTCAAAGAAAATTAATACAAGAAACTCTCTAGTTAGCATTTAATATCGTAACAAAAACTTCAGACCATTCAGAATATGTGTTAGGATTTTACTGTATAATATACATGTAACTTTATGTAATTTAATCAACATAACCATTACCCTGTAAGGATAATCTAGGTGTTTCCATGAAGGCACTAGTGCACAAAAACCATCTGTCTTCCACTTGCTAAACAAGTGTAGACCTGTCTGTATTTTTTTATGTCATTACAGGTTCTTTTCTAAATACCACCCAAAATTCCTTCAAGTAGTGTTTTTAATATTCAACTATCACCATATCCGAACCAAACTAGCAAGCTTACCCCACTGCCAAAATAGGCTACTGATTAAATTAATTCTCAATCCCCCGTGTGGGTTCCGGGGCCCCATTGTGGGGAAAACAAGAACAGACCCACTGCCTCCCCAAAAGCATGTCGTAAGAGTCTACTAATTAGGGAGCTTCCTTTAGAAGTCGAAGTGCAAGGAACCAACAGTCTGTATTCAAGAGAATGACATCTGTAAAACTGATGCACATGCAACACTTGGGTTCTGGAGCAGGACTGCAGTTCAGTAGTGGATGAGCAACCAGAACTTTCCGCCAGAGTGTACAGCTGGTGAACGCAAAGAATTCTCAATTTGTTTATTTTGTCTTTAAATATTTATTTTCTAAAAAGCTAATCTGTCTACAGCATTAACGTTCGAAAGCCTAAATATGTTCCATTTTTGCTAGAGTTCAACCCTCTAAAAAGCAGTGATTTGTACATACTGACATTTACCACAATTCAGCTATCCACCGAATAACGGTCCCAAATTACAGAGGGAGAAAATATACCTAACAGCGCCTTAATCATGTGTCAATTGCAAACTTCCGAAGATTATACAACTACTGCCGGGAACGCCGCTACGCGGATTGGGGCTAAACTAGATGGCTGGGACTCACAAGCAAATAAAAAAGTAACGCTGGAGGAGGTGCGGTAGCTGCTGCTCGTAAGTCCCAGCCATCTAGTTTAGCCCCAATTCATGCTGTGACTAGTGACGTAGGAGATACACTTAGTGGTGACAGAAGTCACAGAAAGTGCACAATTTAAGTCACTAGAAGTCCGCAATTGACATGTGACTGAGGCCCTGTTAGAGTGTATTTTTAGGCCTCGTTAATTTAGGACCATTATTCGGAGATAGCCCCGCAATTCAGCTTGGATATCGCAGCTGTTGTCATATAGCGTCTCACTGTGATTGCTGTAGTACACATGCCTTCTTCATACGTTGAAGGTTTACAATATTTTTTTTAATATCCATATGTTGGTAGGTACTTGTGGTTGGCTTTTCTCTGCAATAATACCTTTTTCCTATTTACCACAAACTGTCTAGTTTCGTAGTCAGTTCTTGGTGCTTTGCTTTAGAACCAGCCATGAGATCAATGTCAATTATGATATGAAACGAACCAGAAAGAAGCTTTTCTCTGAAAAGGGTTTCCTACCAACAGAATCTACTCATACTGGCTAAGGATAATGAGTGCAACTAGCTAAGCAGCTTATAGAGCAACTTACTTTGAAGTGAACACGCAGGTAAGACCCACATGCCTTGGCAGCTGGGGAAAAAAACATTAGGATTAAATTCACATAAACTGCTTCATAAACAAAGCAAATTTTTTTTATTAGCGCGCAGAGAAAAAAATCAGCGTTATCTGGATTTTGTTTTGTTCCCTGCACATTCGTTTAGAGCGACAGATCTGGCAAACATGGTTGCTTACCTCTTGGGCAGACACTTGTCAACTTTGAAGGAAACACCCTTTTTTTAGTCACCTCCTACTACATGCATGTTGTGGTGGTAGTGGGGTTATCCCACTAGAACGGGACCCCAGAACCCACAAGGAAAACAAGTGATGTGAACCCACTGCTTGCATTTATTTGATTAGTAAATGTGTATGTATTTAAAATACACTTAAATTAACACCTATAAGCTACCATCCTGTCTTTTTATATATGGGGGGGGGGTGAGATAGATCAAATCAATAACCAGACATAATAGTCATTTTTCTTCTTGCGTCCATCAGCTGTTTTGGTTGTCCATCTGTTGACTTTTTTAACCTGAGTGTTGAGTGCAAACCTGTTTTACAGATCTGACTCATCTGTATATAGATGGCTGGTTTCTTGTTTCTTATGCATTGGAGGCAGTCAGTTTTTCTAACAATGGAACTTAGTGTTCATTAGTCTAACTTGAATGTTTCACTTAAAAACAAATCAAATAAATAACAATTATTATAATTACAAAAATTACAATGATACAACTTCAAAATACAGCATGTAACATTAGGATATTTCATTGGTGGTTGGTTCATCAGCAGATGCTGTGTTGTTTACCTGCGTTTTATCTGCTTCTATACCCCAAAAAACTTGACTTCCACACACACACACAAAAGTCGCGTTTTACGACATGCTTTGTATAGGGGCACAAAAAGGGCCATGAAACCCACACGGTAAGCAGGTGAATTTTGTTTTATGATATGACTGGCGTGTACTGTACGCCAAGTGATTGTATGAGGCTTAGTTTTTTTACCAGTTTGTTTTAAGAAGACGAGAAACAACTTACATTTTGTAGGATTCTCAGGCTCCTTAGCGTAACGAGTCATCTTCAAGCTGTGGAGCGATAATAAATATAAAATCGTGAGCTTACATCAAAAACTGCTACTAACGGCAAGAATTATTCGATGAAATATGCTAGGTTCCTTCACGGGATGACTCTTAACTTAAAGCTTTAATTTCTTTCAGAATATATTAGATGTGTAAAATCTTAGTACAAAATAATTAAATTATATGTAATTTAACACAAATACACTTATATTTGATGAAAATATAACATACATAATCCGACTAAACAAGATTTTAAATTAAAGATAAATATGGTAAACCTCCTTACCGAGATGGAAATCCGGAAAAGGAAGTTGCAAATTATTCCGGATGCGTGAAAAGACCCGAACTATCAATGTACGTGAAGAATTTGTTTCGCAATTATCTCTTATGTCCTCTTTTTTTATCAAGAAACACATCGTAATCACAAATTAAAAGAAATCAACAACATTTACAAAATAATTTTTGACTATGTTAGTTTCTTTCGGCTAGTACTATTCTGAGTTTGATCCCACCTGGACAAATGATTATTTATATTACGTTCTAGCAACTGCCCTGGTATTAGAGACGGTGAGGTAGTGAGCTTGTAACTTTATCTCAGTGTTTGACACTTGGACCCAAAATGGCATCCCTAATCACATTAAATATCCGCCAAGATAGACTACGTAGTATAAATACTATAATTGTTTAAAAGTACACTTAAAATATATTGAACTTGACATCTGTACACTAAAATATTTTGCAATTAATGCATAGTAAAGTAAAAGAGTAAATGTCCTTTTTTCCACGCCTTCGGGCAGGCGTATTTGGCATATAGGGCTAGATCTATATTTAGTCGACCAGTCAACACTGGCTGGATGATGTGCTCATTATCACGCCAGCCGCCTTTACTTCCCATGACTGTACCTGGTACCAACTCAAAGCTGGGTCGACCTGAGAGCCAGTCATTTTTGAAAAAAAAAAGTCCATCTCCTTCAGGACCCGAAGCCACGACCTATACATAAGCTATTCAATTTAGAATAACCAAACATAGTTGATAGACATAAATATCCATTGTTCTTCTTTTTCTTCGCGTTCACCAGCTGTACACTCTGGTTGCTCGTCCACTACTGAACTGCAGTCCTGCTCCAGACCTGAGTGTTGCGTGGCGTGTGCATCAGTTTTACAGATCTCATTCTCTTGAATACAGACTGTTGGTTCCTTGCCTCTCCGGCAGATGCACTCCGACTTCAAAGGAAGCTCCCTAAATGGGGACTCTTACGATATGCTTTTGGGGAGGCAGTGGGTCTATTCTTGTTTTCCCCCACAATGGGGCCCCGGAACCCACGCGGGGGAATATAAATTGTTTTAAAAAAAGCAAAAACGATATATCTCATTTATAACCTTGATGGGTTGAGCAGGATATTTTTTATTAAACTGCTGCTGCTGCTGCTACTACTACTACTACTACTACTACTACTACTACTACTACTACTACTACTACTACTACTACTACTACTACTACTACTACTACTGCTGCTGCTACTACTACTACTATTACTACTGCTGCAACTGCTACTATTACTTGGACACCAAAAAACAGGACTTTTTCTATGGGACAAAGGGAGCCGTACATACCACAAAATGGCTAATAAAGATGCCAGTACTCACCACAGAGTTTCTATTATATTAGCCAAAATCTCACACCCCACCCACCTCCCCCCCCCCCCCAATAACTTTGTAAAAGGCTGAGTACTCGCAGTGTTTGCTCCGTGCTGGCGCCTCTGTTGTATGTTTGAAACAGAATTGTAATTCTTCCGAGGAGTGGTGCCGAAAGTACACGTAACGCGTTGTCGGGCAACGTCTCTTGGCATAAGCTTATTGGTTCACGGCGGTTTATTGTATATAACCCTGGAGTGAGCTCGGTTTATTTGTCCATCTCTGGGTTTTAATTTTGTTCCAGAAGTTGAGTTTTGCATGCCCATCCGTTTTACATATCTGGCTATAATGTGAGCAGACTACATCTAATGAAGTACGTTTAATTAGTCTGCTTCAATGTCATGCTTGTTAATGGGTTTAGGGGGGGGGGGGGTCTGGGAACCTATTGTAGGGAATACAAGAATAGACCCGCTGCCTCCCCTAAGAAGCAAGTCTGCCATTTCCGGTTTTAAATTTCAATGACTTGGGACTGGACATGAACTTGAAAGGTGACGACTTAGTTCGGACTATGATAAACTGAGCCTCCTGGTCATCATGGGTGTTGGAGACCAACAGGACGCAGTCCGCACATGCGCACTTTTACACAGTAAGCTGGGCTTTTTTTCCCGGAGTGGATAAATGTCATTAAATATTCACTGATTTTATGGGGCTAGGAAAGAAAGGGGGAAAAAGGATTGGGGGCGAGGGGTCTACTCTAAACTATCGCCTGTATCCAAATGCTACAGACAAACAATTTCGTTAATAGAATTATTGAATGTAAAAATGTTCTACTGTCGAAATTGAAATTGTTTTCTCTGGTCCTCACTGGTACTCATTAAGATCTTGGAACTTGGTCTTTCACTCTCAGCGTAACCAGAAATGTTAAGTAAATTGGTCTTCTTCTGAGGGGTTAAAAAAGTACAAATAAAAAAATAAAATAAAAACACCGAGTATGCTAGGGAGGCTATTTACAGACAAAGATAGTCAGATGTGTAAAACGGATGTGCAGCAACACTCATATTCTATAACAAGGTTTGCCCTCGAAATCGGAGTGCATCTCCCAAGCGGCAAGGAACAACCAACTGCACACAAATAAGCCAGTAAAACGGATGTACACGGAAAACTCAGGCCCTGGCACAAAGCCAAAGTCCAAATGGACGAATAAGCGGTACTTTCCACCGGAGCTTACAGCCGGTGACGAAAGACGAAGAAGAAAAATATAGTCAGATGATAGTCAGATGTGTAAAACGGATGTGCAGCAACACTCATATTCTATAACAAGGCTTGCCCTCGAAGTCGGAGTGCATCTCCCAAGCGGCAAGGAACAACCAACTGCACACAAATAAGCCAGTAAAACGGATGTACACGGAAAACTCAGGCCCTGGCACAAAGCCAAAGTCCAAATGGACGAATAAGCGGTACTTTCCACCGGAGCTTAAAGCCGGTGACGAAAGACGAAGAAGAAAAAGAAGAAGATGAAGAAGAAAAAGAAGAAGAAGAAGAAGAAACAAGACTAGAGGTGGACGAACACCCAGAACTTTCGGCCTGAATTTACAACCAGTGAACACGAAGGACTTTCACTGAATATTAAGAAAAAGGAAGTAATGGTTTTATCAAAGAACAAGATAATTCCACGTTGTGATATCTCAATTGAAGGGAAAAGACTTAACAAAGTCAATAAATTTAAAAATCTGGGAACAATCATATCATCAGATGGAAAATGTACAGAGATTAAAAGCAGAATAGGTCAAGCGAAGGCTGTATGTCAGAAAATGAAAAATATCTCATTCAATAAATCACTCTCATTTAATGTCAGAAAGAGGGTGCTAAAATGTTACATAGAACCTGTTCTGCTGTATGGCAGCGAATCTTGGAATGTCACGGAACAAATTAAGAAGAATTTGGAAGCAACAGAGATGTGGTTTCTGAGACGAATGTTACGAATACCTTGGACGGCCAGAGTAACTAACAACGATTTCTTGAAAGAGGCTTATAAAAGTAGATCTCTATATACTACAATAAGAAAGAGACAAACACTGTTCTTTGGCTACGTAATGAGAAGAGAGACATTGGAGAACATGGTGACAACAGGAAAGATCAGTGGGAAAATGGGTAGAGGCAGACCAAGAGAGATGATGATGGATGGGCTGAAACGATGACATGGAGGGATATCATCAAGAAAGCTGTTCCAGTCAACCAGGGATCGTGATCCGTGGAGACGAATGAGCGCCTATGCCAGTTGACAGGGCACATGATGATGATGATGATAAACACGAAGAAGAAACAAACCATACAGAGATTGCATGCTTCGTCAAGAGTGGCAAGCATCGCTTCAGAAACCAAGAGTAGTTACCATTCTTTGAATCATTTGTCCAAGCCTTGTTGCCGTGTTGGGGAGAGAACAAGCGGGCAGACTGGTTGGTTATGCACTATTTCATCGTGAACTGATGCATGACAAGGTACATGTGGCGAAAATCAGTTTGGAGGAGTTAATAATGCTGAATGATAAACCGAGGAACAAATAATTTTAAAGGCAACCAGATCCGGATGTAATATCGAAAAAAAATTCACTATTAAAAGGGTCTTGTTACCAGATACAGTATTGACTGCATAAAGCCGCGAGCTCTTCACAGGGACGCCGCGAAATATTCGAAGATACACGAGTTTTTTTTTTTTTTTTTTTCTTCTTACATACGAATAGTCATACTTGTGTTTCAGGTTAGGGCGCCGTGGAAAAATTTTAATTGAAAAAAAAAGTGCTGCGACAAAGACAAGTTTGGGAAACACTGGCAAAATGCACTGGTTCACAACATATAAATGGCGACTCTACCTAGGATCGCGAAAGGTTTTATGTGGGGTCATCGGACAGTGGTGAGCTACGAAAATTAAAAAAATTAAAAATAATAATAATTGTAGTGAAACATCGATTTTCCGAGTGTTTTCATTTACCCTATTTGGTATTGGGTCGCTGGTCACCTTGCTTTTCTAAAATGAGGTCGCGACTCGAGAAAGGTTGCTGGTATAGTGGTTTGTACACTTGTCTACCAAAACAGTTGTGCCGGTTCTTTACCCTGACGAGCCATGATTTATATTTCACCGACCATATGGCTCTTGGGTCTAATCTACTTTGTAAGAACGGGCAGTAGATGAATTTTCTGGAAATTGTTTAAAAAGAAAAGGCGACGAGAAAGAGATTTCCCACCTCACATGCGGCTTTTTAGAATGTGGGAATGAAAAACTACGACAGAGGGGAAATCTGAAGGCAGGTCAGTATAAGATGGACGTGACATAAGTGGAAGGATAATACCAGTCGATAGAGCGTGCAGTTTGAGAGAGTGTACGAGAGTATAAGGCAATTCGATGGTGATCCATTGAACCAGCCTTCACTATAGAGGCGGCACAAGACTGATGGCATGAGAGATTAAAATACAAATTTTAAAAATTTCCCTCTAGGATTTCAGCGTGAAACACGGACACCTTTTGACCCAAACAGCCATTTCTTCTTCTTCTTCTTCTTCTTCTTCTTCTTCTTCTTCTTCTTCTTCTTAAAGTCCATGCCGTGTGGCGCTGATAGTCATGTCTTTCCACAACCTTTTGTCTCTTGTACTTTCAATCAACTCTGACGCAGATGTTCATCCATGCCATGATGTCAAACTGTCCAGCATCTGTTCTCTCGGTCTCCCTCTAACACTATTAAACAAAACATATCTCAGAAACCCCATTCAAAAGTGTTAAATAGTTATATAGAATTATTGAGGCATTCTGGGTTGAAATCTATCCAGAAAACAAATACGTGAACTGAAGTGATGAAAATAGGACATCTAGTGTTGAGCTGTTATCAACAAATGAAATTATTGAAAGCAAGCTGAGACAAGAAAGCTAGTACAGGGGGAGTGTTCCTGCCTCCTCTTTCCCCTTTTTCCTAGTCATAACTTTGCGTTTATTTGGCCATCACTCAGTCAACACCCAGGGAAAGAGATTTCTAATCATAACTGTTTTGTCACCACTAAGAGGAAGGGATTCTTAGCCATAACTGTGTTTTTTTGGCCACCGCTCAGTCAACACCCAGGGGAATGGATTCCTAGTCATAACTTTGTGTATATTTAGCCATCATTCAGTCAACTCACAGGGAAAGAGATTCCTATTCATAACTTCATGTTTATTTGACCATCACTCAGTCAACACCCAGGGGGAAGGGAAAGCGTGACACATAATCACTACTGCAGACTGCTACCGGCATTGTCATAATTCGAATTTTTCGATTGTTGCTGAAAATGAGGACGGAGGGCTTATGAAAACACCCGAGTGCTTGAATCTACTTCTTCCTTCTATTCTAGTCCTATTCTGCTTTCTAGCGTCAGATTTTGAAAAGGCATGGGGACCTCGGATATTTAATATATCCACTGGTGGTCGACCTCTGGCTCCTTCCGTTAGCCACGCCCTTCTCTAATTATATAAAAATCTGGAGCTGGCCGTGCGTTAGCCTATTTCTAAGTGATAGGGCACTCTGTGGTACGCTGTTTGGTGGAAATCATGTCCAAACCACTTGATCTGTTGTCTCTTGATGTAGTTTAGCGTTGGTTCCGACCCAGCTTCTTTCATGAAATCGTCATTTCTGATTCTGTCTCTTCTAGCTACATAGTTTATTCAACTAAGTTACATTATGATTCGTCGTTGACATTAAATTTTTGTTGTTTCGTTTTTTCTTTTGTCATTAATGTCTACTTTTGGCACTGGTAACACATCGTAGGAAAACACTCCATTGAAGTAGGAGTGCATCTCCCAAGCGGCAAGGAACAACCAACTGCACACAACTGAATATAGTATTGAATTTAATCTTCTTCTTCTTCGCGTTCACTGTGTCAACTGTTACATTTTTGCTCTACTCTGTCTATGACATCGCTTCTTAACTCAACTCAACTCATCTCAACTCAGATGGTCTTTGGTAAACTCGTGACATAAGCTGACATTTAAAAATCCGAAATGATTCAGGTACGAGGAACTCATGAATATGTAAACATAAGCATTTGCGAAATCTACTTCCTGACATTATGGGAAATTGATTCGCTCAGGGAACCATTGGTTGATCGGTGTCTGCTCCTTCGTTCCCACTTCGAGTATATTTCCACCCCATTGCAGGAATATGTAACACCTTCTACTTTTATTGCAATGCGTGATTTATAAAACAGCGTATATGGTGTGAAACAGCCGGTTTTCTCAAGCGACAAGCATGCCAAACGGCAAGAACAAGCTGAAGTTGACGATATCTGTCTCGGAGCCTCAGTCAGACGGCAGCGAGTAAGTTGTTTTTGGTCTGCTGCGATATGTGCATGCATGCGTGAAAGAGGTTGATTGATTTGTGGTTCGTCAGGGTTGATAACCTCCACTGATGGTGAAAATAATAACAAGGCTTCGTGTTTTCTAAACGAAAAGCAAGTTCTGGTTGATAGTTAATGTTTGGTAAACATTTGAAATACTTGGTTTACAGAGCCTTTTTCTAGAATAAAGGTGCCGGTACTCACTATAAATTGTCTAATAATAAAAGGTGCCGGTACTCACTACAGAGTGTCTGTTACTATTAGCACTGAAAAAAGAAATGAAGTAGAATAGTGGGGGTACTGCCTACCATTGAGTACCGCCAGAAAAGAAAAATCTGGTTGGTTTGTAATACTAATGTTTTGACTGATACATTAAACTGCAGCTGAGCACTTAAAATTAATTTATAAGGAAGGTCCCTAATAATGAGTGCACTGTCCTAAAGCTTAGGTGTACCCATGACCCTACAAGAAAACGTGGGAGGCAGGAGATGAACAAACAGCAGTGTGACTGGTCTTGTTACAGAACATGAATTTTGGCTCTACTGTCAAATTTGGCCGGTAAGCTGGACTGCTTCGGCCGGCTTAGCGGGGCTTAGTGGGAGTTATGTCCCTTGGACAAACTCAAAACAAGTCGCGGAAAAAGTCACGAATCAAACGGCATACTTACCTATCATCATCCGGGTGCGTGTAGGGTTGCGTAGGGTGTCTATCATCGTCCTACGGTTGCGTGTAGGGCTGCTTATTGCGTGTAGAGTTGGTTGTTTGCGTAAGATAGATGAGGGGTAGAGTTAGGGTTAGCGTTTAGGGGTTAGGGTTAGAGTTTAGGGTTAGGTTTAGGGTTAGGTGTAGCGTTAGGTGTGACAATTGTGACGCCGTAGTTCCCTACAATCGCGCACAGTCGGATGCACGCGCAAACAGTCGACGGATGGTGGATGCTACTGACACGGACAATTTGCCACCGATTGGGGCACCAGCTGCCGCGCGCTATTACCGTCATATTTGGCACACTTCCAGTGGCGCCACTCCCACAAGCATCAGATTGTCGGCCAGTATTTCGACCTCCTACGTGAAAATTGTCACATCTAACCCTAACCCCTAACCCTAACCCTACCCTAACCCTACCCCTAACCATACCCCTAACCCACACCCCTAACCCAAACCCTACGCAACCCTACACGCAACCGTATGATGATGATGATAGACACCCTACGCATCCCTACACGCAACCGTATGATGATGATAGACACCCTACGCATCCCTACACGCAACCGTATGATGATGATAGACACCCTACGCGCAACCGTATGATGATAGGTAACCCTAGACGCAACCCTATGCAGTCCTACACGCACCTGGATGATGATAGGTAAGTATGTCATTTGATTCGTGACTTTTTCCGCGACTTGTTTTGAGTTTGGCGATGGGACGCAAAGGGACATAACTCCCACTAAGCCCCGCTAAGCCGGCCGAAGCAGTCCAGCTTACCGGCCAAATTTGACAGTAGAGCCTGAATTTTGCATGCACATCTATTTTATTGATCTGGCTTATTTGTATACAGACGATTGGTTCTTTGCCTCTTAGGCAGATTTATTACAGCTTTGCGAGAAACTCTTAGATGCCTCATATGACATGCTTTGGGGGTGGGGGGGGGCAGTAGGTCTCTCCATTTTCAAAGTTAGCCACAGAACACACACAAAGAGTTGTAATTTTATTGGATTACACCTCCCCCATGCTCCAGAATGCATGTAATAAGCTAACTTGATAAAGAATGAATCCTTTGGCCATGAGAAGCCACCATTCCGGCATTGCCATCTGTTGCACATCGCACGGGAAGATGGTAAACTTGCATTGCTGCTTTTGACTATCTCAAAAAATGGCATTCATTCGGTTTGAACCTGTGCAGTGTTTTGAAGACCCAGATTTGGCTACTTTATAAACTTTTTTTTAAAAATAGCATGGGGGGAGGTGTAGGGTTGGATATTGTTTTTAAAAAAAACACACCTGTTTAGCCATTATGATGTCAAAATTACCTGTAGTATTTAGTAGTCACAGTGCAGTGAAATCATGGTGTCATTGTAGGTGTCACTGTGTATACATTTTTAGGCTCTAGGAAATGTAATCCATTACATTTTTAATCCATGCTTGTTTCATATATTTAAACAAGGTTTGGAAAATATAAATAAATTTCTATAGATAATAAGCGACCTGTATAGAATGTTTAGAAGTGGACAAACAACATAACTTTCTAGTAGAGTTTACAGGCAGTGAACATGAAGAAGTTTGAACAAGCTGATGTCTTTTTTTAAAAATGATTAAATAAGTGCATGGCTGGATTGTATGTTGAACAAATACTAGATAAGTGGCTTTTTTTCTCACCTGGGGGGAAACGTCTGCAGAACAAAAGCAACAGTGGTTAAAGACTCTAAATGTTTTTTGTTGTTGTTTGTATTTAAATTCCAGTCATTTAAAAAAAAAAAAAAATTTTAACTGAATATAGTATTGAATTTAATCTTCTTCTTCTTCGCGTTTACTAGCTGTTAACTCTGGTGGAATGTTCTGGTTGTTCATCCACTTCTGGACTGCAATCCTGTTCCAGAACCTGAGTGTTGCGTGTGCATCCGTTTTACAGATCTGACTCATTTGCATACTGCTGGTTCCTTGCCTCTCAGGCAGATGCACTCCGATTTTGAAGGAAGCTTCAAATTAGTCGACTCCTATGACATGCTTTTGGGTTGGCAGTTGGTCTATTCTTTTTGTCCCTTTAACAGAGCCCCAGAATCCATACGGGGAATTTAATAATTTTCTATTTCATTTTCACAGTCGTCAGAATGGAGCTCAAGCGAATCTGGAGGCATTGCAGCAGAAGTTACAGGAACTAGATATTGATGACCAACAGAGAGAGAGACTTGAAGAATTTTTAACACAGAAGCAGAAAATTGGAGAATTATTGGAGGAGGATTTTGAAAAACTAGGAGAGCTAGGGGCTGGAAATGGGGGTGTTGTTACCAAAGTGTTACACCACCCTTCAGGTCTCATCATGGCACGCAAGGTGAGTTACAAAATGTAACATTCATATTCTCATCATCATTATGTAGCAGGTCCTTTGCAGACATTGCTCTCCTCATTATTTGCCTCTAGGAATCTTGGTCTGTCACCAACTCTTCCACCTTGTGCACTTTTCTACCCAAGGTGTCACTTATATTCTGTGGCGATTTTTTTGTCTGGTCAGCCCATCTTCCTCTTTCCTGGAGTTGTTTTTTTTTTTATTTTTTTAATTTTTTTTATCGATCACCGGCTGTGAATTCCAGTGGAAGGTCCAGGATAATCGTCCGCTTGGACTTTTGGCTTTCACCTGGACCTGATTTTTGCGTGTACAACCGTTTTTAATTTCCCTGCCTCCTGGGCAGCTGTACTCCGACTTCGAAGGAAGACGTCAGGCCTATTTCTAGGGTGACTGTGGCCATTGTTTTGTGTGGGTCGAGACGTTGCCTGACTTGTGTGGTGTCCACTTTGTCTCCTTCGCCCCCTTTGGGGCAGTCCCCTGTGGAACAGTTAGCCCTCAAGGGAAGGCAGGGGCAGATCATGGGCATTCCCCGCCATCCAAGGAGGCTTCCATGCATGCAGAGCCGGCACATGGCGCTCTGGTTCTGAGCTCACCCAAGGAATCGTCACGTCCTGCACATGCCTGCTTAACCTCACAACCGTATCAGGCCTCCCGCTCGACAGGGTCTGCGCCCTCTGGAAGTCAGCGGGGAGCAGCCCGTGGGTTTTGGACTTTTGTGACCACACAGATAGGTACATTCTTTTTTTCCTCGCACGTTGAATTTCTTTGACGAGCCGTTAGCCCGCCAGAATTTTACATCCTGCATCAGACATATCGTTATCAGTTTTGTCCCAACACTCGGGCGAGTGGGGTCTTTGGGTGTGGACATTCGGTCTTTTTCAGTTCAATGCAAATTTTGATGGTCAGATTTTGATCCGTATGATCTAGTTTTGTCGGACATTTAGGCTTAGCCATCCAATGGATGGTTGCTGTTGTGGTGTACCCCAGCGCGGTGACGACGACACTGAGGGTTAACCGAGGATGTACAAGGATGGCCAGCCTATGGATGGTTGCTGTTGTGGTGTATCTCAGCGCGGTGACGTCGACACTGAGGGTTAACAGAGGATGTGCAGTGAACAGTGTTCTCTTTACTCCGCAGTCTTTTAACCAAGGGTTGTAATTTTGGCTGTACGTTTGGCAAACTTACTCATGTTCCTAATGAGTTTTGGTAAAATTTTTCACCCAAGCGTTTGGGGGCGGGCTGATGAGAGCCACAAGGACACATCACCTCTGGGGGCCGCCGAACTCCGAGATCCCCTGACAGCTCTGTTAATGCTCATTTGAGACATTATCCGTGGCGCACGATGAGGACGTGCTGTAGGGGTCTTGCGTGAGGTTCCGTACAACCAGGATAGTAAAGGACTGGCGCCCGAGTGACGCACGGAGTATCTCCTTATACACATCATGTTGGACTTAACTTCCCCTCACGCCTGTGACATAAATCACCGCGCCACTCCTGGAGTTGTGCTTTCTGCTATTATTTTTTTTTCTCAATTCACCATTGTGCTTTATATGGCCAAAATATTTAAGATCCTGAGACAATCTTCAATGAAGTTCAGATATTTTAGGATATCAATATTTTTTTTCAAACCGTGATATTCTGAGAAACTTTCTGTAGCATTTCAGCTCAGAAGACCCTGTTAGTATCTGCATTCTTAAAGTTGGCCTTATTATTCTAAATTTTTCCCAAAGCCTCTCCACAGTTGGCTGTGTTCTTAATTATCATGCAGCATACTTCCTGCGGTCAGTGTAGGTTTTGTTTATTAAATGGCTCTTCTCCTATTTTGGGTTCTGGGACCTCACTGAGGGGGAAGGAAAAAAGAGTAGACCTACTGCCCCCCCCCCCCCCCCCTCCCCCCGCATGTCATAAAAGTAAAACAATTAAGATGCTTCCTTCAAAGTGAGAGCATCTGCTTGAGAGGTGAGGAACCAACAGTCTGCATTCAAATAAGCCAGGTCTGTAAAATGGACTTGCAGGCAAAACTCGTTCTAGAATAAGACCATAGTTCCACACAACCAGAACTTTCCACATGTTTACAGCCAGTGATCGCTCAGAAGAAGAAGAACAAGAAGTGGCTTTCCTACATTATCTAGATAGTTTAATTTGTTGTTTATCATGTAGCATTCCTACCTGAGCTGTAAAATTGCTAGGACAGATTTTTAATCTAAGAAAGAAGAAGAACTCAATGCAGTCACTGTGGCGATATATTTTTAGTGCTGGGTCAAAAGTGAAGTCTATATAGCCACTTCACTCTTGTAAAAATCAACACTTTACAGAGCTCAAATAGTCCTGGCTTAACTCATAGGTTTCCAGCTCATGAATGGTGACCCCAAGCAGGTGTCACAAAAGGTTTTTCTGTGGGATTGCCTGGCAGTGGTAAGTTGTGAAATAAATAAAGGAAAACAGAATCCACTTGACTCCTGCACAGATTTTGTTTGCAGAAAGCTGGAGCTGCTCAATTAGTAGTGATACATGCACACTAAATTTGTTACCTTGTTTCTTCTAGGCTGCAATGGGTTTAATTTGATACCAGTGAGTTATTTGTAATATAATAAATTGTACATCAACACAATTCAAATTATCCTGCTTCCAGGAATGAAAAGTGCTTGCTCTAAAACTGCTGGCTTTAAAATTGCTTGAAAGGTTTTTGAGCTAAAAGAGAAGAACTCGGCAATTTCAGTCCTAATAGAAATAGTTCTTTTGGGTTGGGGCAGAAACAAAGTGTACAACGACCTCACTGCAGTAGACATTTTTTTTTTCAGAGCTCAAACGGACATGTTTTAAATAGTATATCAAACACAAGAATTAAAAGTTTCTAGATAATTCATCGACTAACCACGCACTCATTCAACCTAGAAGCCCACCAACAATCCACTCAATCAACCACCCACTTACTTAGCCAACCACTCACTCACCTAATCAACCAATGAACCAAACAACCAGTTATTTAGTCAACCAGCCCCTCAGTCTGCCAGTCACTCACTGTATCAACCACCCACCCACTGAATCAAACACCCACTGTATCAACCAGCCACCCACCCACTGAATCAAACACCCACTGTATCAACCAGCCACCCACCCACTGAATCAAACACCTACCCACCCACTGTATCAACCACCCACCCACTGAATCAAACACCTACCCACCCACTGTATCAACCACCCACCCACTGAATCAAACACCTACCCACCCACTGTATCAACCACCCACTGTATCAACCACCCACCCACTGAATCAAACACCCACTGTATCAACCAGCCACCCACCCACTGAATCAGCCACCCACCCACTGAATCAAACACCCACCCACTGAATCAACCAAGCATTCACTGAAACAACCAATGCACCTATCAGCCACACAGTCAGTTAATTAGCCAACTAACCACCATATCAGTTAACCAACCAGCCACCAGCTACTCTGTCAGCCAACCATACTACCACTCACTGAATCAGCCCATCAGCCACTCTCTCAGTTAATTAGCCAACTAACCACCAAAACAGTTTACAAACCAGCCACCAGCTACCCTGTCAGTTTACCAACCGGCTAACGAGAAGTAATAATGTATGATTTCTTTCTTCAGCTTATTCACCTAGAGATCAAACCAATGGTTCGAAACCAGATCATTCGGGAGCTGAAGGTACTACATGAATGCAACTCCCCGTATATAGTTGGATATTATGGTGCTTTCTATAGTGATGGAGAAATTAGTATCTGTATGGAGTATATGGTGAGTAACATATGTTAGTTTATCATCTGTTTGTTTTGTGGTGCTAGAATTGTATACTCCTACAAGAATCATTATTAGATATTCGGTCGCAATTAACGCATCTACAGGGTGTTCCATAAGTTTCCATTCATTGGAAAAAACACATTTGTTTAAATAAAAAAAAATTATGTTAAAAAATAAAGTTTGTTTTTTTTTAAATTGTTTTAAAAAATGTTCTAAAAAAACATTTGTTTAAAAAATTACAATTTGTAAAGAAAATTTTAAAATTTTTTAAAATTTAGTAATTGCTATACATCATGCATGTCAGACTGAGGGTCACCTGAAGATCATCGTGAGGGCTACACACAACAACTAATTGAAGTTATTTAATAAAAATTATTGCAGAATATTTCCTTTTTGTGGGCTGTTGGTGTGTTTGCAAAAGGTCACATGTGACCGCGGGCCCACAGTTTAACGTGCCTGCTGTACACAAGTACCGTTGTTTTGAAAACACATTTCGTTGAATTTCCTCCACTGCCGAAGAACTTGTGTAAGCACAGCAAAGAGTTATGCTTGTAATGACCCGTGGCAATATGTGTATTTTTCCTGTTAGTGGAATTTTATAGGAGACCCTGTAGTTACATTTCAAGGAAATTCATATCCTTATCTTCCCTTGTGTGTTCTTGGCCAGGGCATCCATTAAGGAACAAGATGGGTGAGGGGGGGGGGGGTTTAATAAACCCACCGCACCTACCCCTCCCCAAACAAGCATGTTTGCTGAACTTAGTTGGGGTGGGGGGGGGGGCATTGCTTGAGCTATGGAATTTTTGCTTTGTGCCATTTCTCATTGCATTCTGGGACCCTGTTTTGGGAATGGGAAGGCAGGGAGAAGTATAGATCCACTGCCCTCCTAACAAGCTTGGCCAGATGTGCGACTAACTAGGGATGCATCCTTCAAAGTCAGTACATCTGCCTGAGAGGTGAGAAACCAACAGTCTGCATACAAAGTCCAGATGTGAACAAACAACTTAAATGTTCCCAATGAATGCTAAGAAGAAGAAGAAGAGATGCTTTGTGCAGTGCTCTCACAAATGACCAGCAGCTCTGAGAAGAGTTAAACTGGATAAAACCTGGGACAATGAAGCTGATCCTTGTACCTTTAACTCCTTCAGTACCAAACAATACACCCTGATTTCTTTTGCCATTCTAAAGTTAATATAATTTTTCAGCTGTCTGCTATCACATACAGATGTTACATTAACCCTTTATATCTGAATTATTAGTTTAACTACTTTTGTATCATAGTGTCTTTGTTGAACCCTCCTCAGACCTAAGTATTTACTGTATTTAAGTATAATCCTTGGAGTAGAAGGAGTTAATTTAACAACTTGTTGGGATAATTTCCAGAATTCTCTGAGCATTTTCTTTGGTGAAATAGGGGACTGACTACATTGTTAGCTGTTAGTGGGGGTTCCAACATCACTTGAGATTGGTCACCCCATAACTGTTCCATTCCTGTGGCAGTGGGAATCACACAATATTTCCTTCATGGTTCCATCTGAAAACTAGTGAAAACTTGTCAGTCCTACCCAAATCTGAATGCTTGCACACTTGCTTGCTTACTTACTTAGTCGCTCCTCTTCTACCTTGGAGGTTTGCCAGAGAGATCGCCAGACTTCTTTGTCAGCAGTTTCCTTTCTGGTTTTGTTCCAGTCCAGTCCTCCATCAGTCAGGGACTGTCGATGCTGTCTTCCCAGCGGACATAGGGTTACGCGGGAGGTCTGGTTCCCTGGTTCTTAGCCTCCCATGCCTGCCATGGTGGCCGATTTTCTCCCATTCTGCATACATGTCTAAACCATCTTACCTGTGACTGATCCACTCGGGTTAGTAAGGCCTGGGTTTCAAGATCTTGACGTATTGCTCCAAAGCATACTGTCCTATAATTATCTGGTGTTTCTTCTTTCTTGAGATCACCATGGTTTTAGTTTTGGAGATACTGATGGTCATCTCTCTTTTCTCAAGCTCTTCCTTCCAGACAAGTAAATTAGATTAAAGATGTGCCTCTGATTTAGCTATCAGGGCCACATCAAAGCTTGCACACTCAAAGTAGAAATGCACAATGCAGCTGTCATTTATGCCGACACTAACGGTCCTGCATCAGAATTTCAGCTCACAGTTGGAGAGGACGGTCAGTCACAAAAGCTGGCATTGCACCCATAAAAGTAGATCCTGGCTGTTGACCATTGGGTGGAAGTTAACACATCAGTTTGGCCAAGAATGTTTGATTCAACATTTCAGTAAAACATGGCAGTTTTTACCATTATACTTCTGTTACAGTCAGAAGTAATAAGAGTTAAGCGATTAATTTTTTCCAGTTAATTTAGCCAGTAGAGACATAATGACCTCATGCATATACAACAAAACAATAAATACGAATAGCCACATTGAAAACTACAACAGCATTGTACAATAAGTGGTACTTATGAAGAAAAAAAAAAAACACACACACACATACTTGTGAATTTCATTTCAATCTCCTAAGAAAAAAATCCATATTGTCTGGCCCATTTGAAAACACATCCCATTTAATGAAAACAACAGCCTTTTGTTCTGTTTTCATGTTTACTAACCAACAAAACAAAATTATAATCATGTTTTCAGCATTGTAATGTACAGTACCCATGTGGGGTCTGGGGCCCCGTTTTTGTGAGGAAGACTAGAATAGACCCACTATCTCCTAACAAGCAGGTCATAAAAGTCGACTAATTAGAGATGTTGTCCTTCAAAGTCGAAGTGCATCCACCAGATAGGTGAGGAACCAAAAGTCTGCATGCACATAAGCCAGATCTGTAAAATGGATGTGGATGCAAAAAACAAGTTCTAGAGCAAGACTTGCGTCCAGAAGTGGATGATAAAGAACTAGTACTTTCCACCAGATTTTACAGCTGGTGCACATGAAGAAGTAATTTACATTATTTTATAGTTTTTATGTAAAAAAATTTGAAAACCTCATTTTGTAAATTGGCTTATGTACCCACAGATTTTCTCATCTGTTATGTAAGGCATCTATCTATCTTATTAACACTAATTAACAATTTTATGGAAGAGATATATTTTGTACATTGGTTATTCAAAAAAAGGCTTTCAGTGATGGGGATAATATTAACAGTAATATAGCTCAAATGTACCTGTACAAGAGTTAAGGGAAAACCTCAGACACATGGGGAATCAATTAGAGACAAACATGAAAAATAAAGAGAGAGTATGGAATGAACTGTGTGAAGTGGCAAAGGGTAGGACAACTTGGGATGAGCTGGTTTTGTGACTCCCGTATGGGTTTTCGGGTGGGGGAGGGTGCATTGTTCAGGAGAGAAATATCCCTACTGCTCCATAACAAGCGTGTCATAAAAGTAAAGTAAGTAAAAGACCCTTTTGCACACATTCATTTATATTGGGCATATAGGGCTAGACCTATATTTGATAGACCAATCATGTCAAGGTGACTAATAAAAACATAAAAATTGCTAATTAAGGATTTGCTGAAATCAGATGTCTTCTTCTTCTTCTTCTTCACTTCATCTTTTACCGCTGTGGGTGTTGAGGGAGATATAAGGTTCTTTCTCCAGCTCTTCTGGCTGCCTCGACCATAGGCACATCGTGCTGTTGTAGAGTTTCTCTGATGTTATCCTTCCATCTTGTTCTTGGTCTACCTTGTGCTCTACGTCCTTCTTCTCTTTCCATGTATGCTTTCTATGGTATGGTGTCACAAGGCATTCTCTCTAAGTGGGCAAACCATTTCACCTGCTGTCTTCGTATGTAATTTAGAATTGGTTCTGTGCTGACTTGTTCTCTTATGATCTCATTCCTGATCTTATCTCTTATGGTCACTCCTACAGCCCTTCTCAGACATCTCATCTCCATGGTTACTAATTTTCTTTTATGGTTTGTTGTGAGTGACCATGTCTGGCACTGGTAGCACAGAGTTGGAATAAATATGCTTTGAATAAGATGGAAATCAGATGTGTTGAGTTGAAAAGTGTAGATATCACCGCCTATCTGTAAACTGCACACAACATAATAATGGTGCTTTTAAGGGCAAATGCAGAAGAAGCAGCAACTGGTTTAGGATATATGCTCCAGTGGGGGATAAATAGAAGAAGAAGGTGAAGAAGAAGAAGGCTTTTTGATTGTTAATAAATTTAACTTACAGATTTGCTGATTCAGTTATTTTTTTTTTATCTTTTAGGATGGTGGGTCATTAGATTTAATTTTAAGGAGAGCTGGCAGGATACCAGAGCCGATTCTAGGGATTATTAACATTGCTGTGAGTATACTATGTGCCTGAATAACAACAGTATTGCTTATAATGTTCGATGTATGGGTTCCTGGTCCAGTATGGAAGGGGAGATAGATCCTCTGCCCCTCAGCAGGCATGTCCTAAAAGGCGACTGATTAAGAATTTGTTAAAGTCAGATGTCTTGGGTCTGAAGGGCGCAGATATCACCGCCTAGCTGTAAAGCACAACACAGAATATCAGCCATACTTTTAAAAAGGAACAAGAAAAAAGTAGCTTATGATGTCTGGTCTGCTTTCTACTCACTGTCCTAAGCACATCATAAAAGAAACTAAAGGTATGCTGAAATCCGTTAAATGAGACCAACAGAATGCAGATATCGTAGCCTAGCTATAAACCATAAAGGGCGGCGGCCTTTTGAAAGGTTATTTTACAAGAAGAAGGAAAATATATGGATGCCAGGTAGAAGTTGGATGCTAGCCAAATGGTGCAGATATTGCAGCTCTCCTATGAACAGACATTGTGAAAACTGTCCTACAATAGGAAGTATATCAGACACACCACAGAAGAAGGAAGAATTTGAATATATTTGACTGGTTTAGTATTATTAGGTCCTATCTTGGTTGGAAAATAATGATCTGCTGTTTGTTTGTTTACCAGATGGTAGCTCTTGTGTAAAGATCTGTCTATGTGACATTCTTCATGTCTCCATCATAGGTTTCATTTGGTGTTAAAAGACTCGTACAGGGCATTGGGGGGAAAAGGGGGGAGGGGGGTTGTGATATTGCTTCTTCTTTGACTACTTGGTCAGTGCTGTCATTTCCTGTTGTCCTGGCTGATTAAAAAAAAAAAGATATGTTTTACAGACTTATATGTTAAATTAATTGTCTACTATGAAACAACAGCTGTTTTGTTAACTTTCAGGTTCTTAAAGGGTTGTCATACCTTAGAGAAAAGCATCAAATTATACACAGGGGTGAGTTTTGATCTATTATTCAGCTTTTAACAAAGAACAACTTTTACTTCTATTGTTCAATTTTTAATTTTAAAAAAAAAGTTACTTCTGTTTAGTGGACATTTCAACTTGTTATTAGGACATGGGCATTCCATAGTCATCATTTAACTCTTTCAGTACATACAAAACAATGCACCATGGGTGACTTGATAATACTTCTGTGTAGCAGTTAATGTGTACATATTACCAGGGCGTTTTTCAGGCGGTACGTAACAGTATGCAGTACTGGCACCTTTTTTTTTTTTTTTAATTTTCTCTAGAGAAAACCCTGCATATTAATATTAGTCAGCATATACATGTGAAAATGTCACCCCACATCGTCTGATAATGAAGGCATGAATGAATAAATTAAATCCCTGTGCGGGTTCAAGGGCCCTGTTATAGAGAAATCAAGAACAGATCCACTGCCACCCAAAAGCATGTTGTAAGAGTTGACTAATTGGGAGCTTCCTTTGAAGTAGGAGTGCATCTGCCTGAGAGGTAAGGAACCAGCAGTCTGCATACAAATGACTCAGATCTGTAAAACGGATGCACACACGACACAGGCTCTGGAACAGGAATGCAGTCCAGTAGTGGATGAACAACCAGAACTTTCCGCCAGAGTTTGCAGCTGGTGAACGCCAGTAAGAAGATGAAGAGTAAATTAGTTAATTAAGAAATGACATCACTGCCCTCAAGGCATTCCCACATATGCTCTGTTCCCTTTCTTGGTCACCAGCGAAGAGTTAATGATGCCAGTTGCAACTTGCTGTGAAGTCAACCCGTCTGATCCCTGCATTTTGAAAACCACCCAGACCTTCTGCTCACTCCCCAATGAATGAATCTCTTAAGGTCTGGATACTCTGTACTGTTGCACTCTCCACATGATCCCATAGAGCCTTTCACCACGTCCACTTTGTCATAAAGTAGCCCGCCGTCCAGAGGATCGGCAGCTGCCAGTCTTATCAGCCTGCAAACTGGAATATCCCAGGCAGAGAATATATGATGTGCTGCTGAAAGAGTGAATGATGGATGTTTGATGTTTTCTTCGAAGTTGGAGTGCATCTGCTTGAGAGGCAAGGAACCAACAGTCTGCATACAAATTAGTCAGATCTGTCAAATGGATGCACACGCAACACTCCGGTTCTGGAACAGGATTGCAGTCCAGTAGTGGACGAACAGCCAGAACTTTCCGCCAGAGTTTACAGCTGGTGAGCGCAGAGAAGAAGATGTTTGATTTCATTGTGGTTTTTTTGTCACCACATTTCTGGGAGTCAACATATGGTCATTTATGCACAGTATGCAGTGTGGGTACCTGGGAAGTCTTGCCTCACAGTCTCTATCATGCCCTGTGGGTTTCCCAGGGTCTTCTTGTGGGGAAGAAAAGAACAAATCCACTGCCCCCCCCCCCCCCCCCCCCCCCCCCCCCCCCCCCCCCCCCCCCCCCCCCCCCCCCCCCCCCCCCCCCCCCCCCGCCCCCTCCTTTTCCACCAACCAACATGTCATAAAAGCTGACTGATTAGGGGTGTTTCTTTCGAAGTCAGAGTTCATCTGTGAGAAACCAATAGTCTGCACATAAATAAGGTAGATCTGTAAAACAAATGTGTACACAAAACTCAAGTTCTGCAACAAGATGTGTACAGACAACCAGAACTTTCTACTGGAGTTAACAGCTGATGAATGCAGAGAAGAAGAAGACCTTATGAAGAGCTCATTTCCATTTAGTCTTCTCATGTGGGTTCATGTGGTACCCATTTAAAAAAAAAGGGGGGGGGGGGGAGAATGGGGTTGTTTGTGTTGAGCTAAAATGCTTAAGATATTGCAGCCTAGCTGTAACCACAACTATGCGAAATGCTCTTTGAAAGGAAAACCAGAAGAAGAAGAGGAAGAAGACAAAAAAAAGCCAGTCCCTATATATGCAGCAATGAGACCTCAACATTTCTGCACATTAGCAACCGGGTCACCCATTTTACATGGCACACATCACCTAGTCACAATTACAACCTGAAGCTCCACCTGGGGATGCTAGTTGAACTTGAGTTTTTTTGGGCAAAGTGCCACCCAAGCATCTTAACATTTGTGAACATTACCACCCTAACATAGTGGCATGTAAAGCTTTTTTATGAGAAATTATTCTTTCTGTTTTATGTGTTCTACATTTGAAGTTTATTATTTTGTGTTAACATTTTTCCTCAGATGTAAAGCCATCAAATATCCTTGTAAATTCCAGAGGAGAAATAAAACTATGTGATTTTGGTGTCAGCGGACAGCTCATCGATTCAATGGCAAACTCTTTTGTTGGAACAAGATCATATATGGCAGTAAGTGTCAAATTTCTTTCTTCTGAGTGAATCTGCTTGAAAGGCGGGGGACCAACATTCTGCACACAAATAAACCAGATTTGTGAAGCGGATATGTACACAAAATTCACATTCTGGAACAGGACTAAAGTCCAGAAGTGGGTGAGCAACCAGAAATTTCGACTTAGAGTTTACAGCTGGTGAACATGAAGAAAGACGCTCGCCGCGGATGGGAATGTCATTGGTTTGCTACCTGGTGGAGCCTGACTTTTTTCAAAAATGACCTTGGCTCCCAGGTCGACCCAGCCTTGAGTTGGTACCGGGTGCAGTCCCTGAAAGTAAAGGTGGCCGGCGTGATGCTGACCACATCCCCCATATTGTGCCGATTGGTCTATAAAATATAGGTCTAGCCCTATATGCCCTATACATCTAAAGGTGTGGAAAAGACTCCTTTCCTTTTTTTTTTTTTTTAGAACTTGAAGAAGAAGAAGAAATTAGCCAGTTAAATATGCCAAGCTTAGTACTAGGTTTAATTTCTGTTGATTTCCACACATTTCTGGATGCTGTAAAAGCTCTGTTAAATAAATACGCACCATTTGTTGTATCTTCCTCAGCCTGAGAGATTACAGGGCACCCATTATTCCGTACAGTCAGACATATGGAGTCTTGGACTGTCTCTTGTAGAGATGTCCATTGGAAGATACCCTGTGCCTCCTCCTGAACCCAAGGATTTGGCCAGCATCTTTAGTGATAATGCCTATGAGGAACACATAGAAGCTGCCCTGACTGGGAGGCCACTTAAAGGTTAGGGTTTAGTTATCCCATATCTCACACAGCTCACACTTTTTATGTGTCTCACACATCTCAAACTTCTCACATACCTCACACTTTCCACGCTTTTCACATATCTCACACTTCTCACATATGTCACACTTCTCACATATTTCACACTTCTCACATATCTCATATATCTCACACATCTTACATATCTCACACTTCTCACTCATTTCACACTTCTCACACATTTCACAAATCTTGCATATCTCACACTTCTCACTCATTTGACACTTCTCACACATTTCACAAATCTTGCATATCTCAGACATCTCATTGGCTATAAATCAGGTCAGCATAATTGTTTTACTATGCCAGGTGGTGGCCAAGACACCTAAGTATTCATCTCTTTTGCCTGTGTGTGTTTTTTTCCCCCACCAAAATCACACAAACTGTCCTTCGCTTTCCAGTTTGAAAACTAGTGAACAGTTGCATAAGGCGGCTGTCAGATGTCAGATATGCCAACACTAACTGTTCCACACTAGAATTACAGCTAACTGTTGACGTGAACGGTCAGTCATGACACCTGACATCGTACTCATAAAAGTACACACCATTCTGAACATTAATATCCACTGGTCATTTAATGCGTGAACAACACGCACAAGCACAACAGAAAAAACATTCCACTCGACATCCACAGCTCACAGTGTTGCACCAGACACTCATCTCAGTAGCTGGACTTTCAGTCCAGAAATGGCTTTTGCTTCAGAAAATTTTGCTGGAAACATATAACTTATCAGTGGTCAGCTGGCTATCGGTTATTTTGACTGGAAGTCCTAAATCAGATGTGTTGAGCTGACAGACACATATATCACAGCCTGGCTGTAAACCACAACACAGCATGCCTTTCTAAGGGCCATGCATAAAGCAGAAGTTAAATTGTTAATTCAAAACAGTGTTTTCATTATTAATTTAAATACTGTGCTCACAAACAATATATCGCACAGTTTATCAGCTGGCATATTTCGCTAATTCTTTTATGTTGCATTACTACAGAGTTGCATCAACATATAACAGATCACAAAAAATTAAACTTTTCTACTGAAATAAACAAATCGCAGTCTCCAGCCAAAAAATTATGCAATGTATTCTGTGTGTGTCTGCATTATTTAAAATATTAATTTCTGCTTTTTACAAAGAATCTGTTTAAAATACAGCCATGAGTCCTGGTTAATTAGTAAACAGGCAACAACAACAACAACAAAAATCTCTGGGGCCATGAAAATAATAAGAACAAAAAATATTGGCTACTCAGACTGGGGATCAGTGTGTATTTAGAGCTTAGGAATAGAGATAACTAATAGTGGACATATTTTGACATTAAATTATGAGAAGAGAGACTTCAGAATGTTAAAGCATCTTGTGGGATTAAAGTAAAAGGAGTCATAGGAAGGTGGCAGCAGCAAGAGATTATTCTTGATAAAATTTCTTCATGAAATTGAAGGTCAAACTGTTCCCCTCCTGGATTGCTGTCCATATGATTAACCCTTTTATTATTTGCTTTAAAAAAACAAAATCAGCATCTCCGAAGGGGTCGCTTTAGGTTATAATTGTGACTAGGTTATATGCGCCATATAAAATGGCTTAACATTGCACGCCAGCAAGAGGAGCTTTCATAGCACTAGGGAATTTGTGGAGGTCAAAAGAAATAAAAAGAAATACATTTTTAATTCTAATGTCAAATCAGTACTTTTGTATGGGGCGGAAACATGGAGAACAACTAAGGCAATTACTAATAAATTACAGACATTCATTAACTGGTGCCTGCGCAGAATAGAGGGAATTAAATGGTATGATAGAATAACTAATGTAGAGCTTTGGGAGAGAACTAAACCGGCTCCAGTGGACCAAGAGGTCAGGAAAAGACACTGGCATTGGATAGGACACACACTGAGAAAACAGGAGAACAGAATAACTAGAATGTCTTTGCATTTAACCCACAGGGGCATAGGAATAAAGGAAGGCCACAAAACACATGGAGAAGAGAGCTGGAGAATGAAGTTGGAAAGATGGGGAGGACATGGGGAGAGCTCCATGCAATGGTGAAGGATAGAACGACTTGGCTTGAGTTGGTTCAACCATATAATATTTATACTAGGTACAAACAAACCTGCAGTTAATTGTGGGGGGGGGGGGGGGGGGGGTGGAAGTCAGTATTGTGTAGTAACTTTGAAGAATGGAAGCATCTTGGCATATTAATGTATAAACTTTGTTAGAAAATGAGGGCTTTGGATAAATGTGATCACCAAGCCAGTAGGTAAGAAGGTACTTTATTATTTTGTATCTTGTTTTCACTGTGTGAGTTCTAAGGCTCCATTTTGGAGACCCAAAGAATTGATGCACATAAAAGGTGGCTTATTAGGAATGTTCTGAAATCAGATATTTTGGTAATTTTCTGCAATCAGTTGTGTTTTAAGTTATCATAGTCCTATAACACCGTATATCATTGGGTCACCATTTGCTGTTGACTATCTGATCAGTTCCCTCCACCTCTTGCCAATCCGATGCAATGGACTTGATGTTTGCATGTTCGAGGTCTGTATGGTTACACAATTCTTCACCATTATAAGTGATTGAACAGACTCTAATAAGGGAAGTAAAAAAAAGTAAAGGACCCCTTTCCACGCCTTCAGTCCTATTTGGCACATAGGGCTAGACCAGTACTTTTCAAACCAATCGGCACTTAGTGGGTGATGTGGTCAACATCCCGTCGGCCGCCTTTACTTCCCAGGACTTTACCTGGTACCCGTTTAAGGCTGGGTAGACCTGGGAGCCAAGGTCCTTTGAAAAAAAAAAAAAAAAGTCTGGCTCCATCAGGACCTGAACCCACAATCTTCAGATCTGCAGATGAGCATCTAGCCACTACACCATGACTGCTTCCAAACAGACACTAATAGCTGGCCAGTAACAAATAATTAATAACAAATTTTCACTTTATCCACAGTGGAGGTTGGCTATATTATATATATAAGTATGTGTATATACATACATATACATATATGTATGTATATATTATTATGTGGTGAGGCCCCAATCTCTTTCAAGGTGTGACTCTTGTACCACTCTCCAAAAATTTGAAAGCAGTTTAGTAATAAAAGCAAACCGCCGGCAATCAAAAATCTAACCCTAGTCCTAAAGAATCGTAAGATTGAATGAATGAAATAATAAAAATCACGAATAAACTGTTTTCAAGACATTCCCAAACCTGTTCTAACCCTAGTGCAAAAGAATTGTAAGATTGAATGAATGAATAAAAAAATCCACGAATAAACTGTTCTCAAGACATTCCCAAACCTGCTCTAACCCTAGTCCTAAAGAATCGTAAGATTGAATGAATGAATAAAAAAAAATCCACCAATAAACTGTTCTCAAGACATTCCCAAACCTGCTCCGTACCATTGAAGAGTGAAGAGTCGTCAACTCATCAACAAGTTAACAGTTCCAGGTGCCACCTGATTAAATGTCCACCTGTGTTTCATTCTCAGTGTTGAATATCTTCCAGAACCTCTGCTAACCCCCCTGATGAATCAGTCTTTCATTGTATGGATTCTCTGTTCTGTCACACTGTCCATTTGATCACAGAGAGCCTTCACTACATCTGCTTTATCATAAGTAGCTCACCACCCAGAGGAGGAGGAGCAGCAGCAGCTGATGTGTCAGCCTGCTCGTTACCCGGCACACCTGAATATCTTGAACCTTCATTAGATTGTTAAACTCATTCACTAACCTCTGAGCCACAGACCAGCACAGCTGCCCATCACAAATAAGTGGTTAGTTGGGGGTTAAAGATGTAGAACCGTTTTATCATATTTAGGAAGAGAATTAGTAATTTGAGCAGGATGTCACGTGAAATGTGTAAAGTTAAAGCCAAGGATGGACTTCATCACATTGTTTTTTTTTTCCCGTGTGGCTCAGCCTCTCTTTGAATAATGGCTAGCAGCATTCTGGAACCGCTGCACACAGCACAAACTTCATAGCTCTGGTGGCAATCCTCAGTGACTTCTGTAAAAAAAAAAAAAAAAAATCAATCAATCATGCATGAACCAAATGATATAGTCCATGAATCCAACCCATGACTTTCAAAGCAAATGGTAAATGGGTTGGCCATGGAGAACCCTGTAGTAGAATTTGTAAACCTATGCAAGATGAGTATAGAATTCTATAGTTTCTGCTCAAGATTCTATATATACATTTGTTAGAATCATTATCTCCTGCGGAAATCATTTACCAGCAGGTGCCATTTTCTAATTGAATGATCTGATGCTGCAAATTTGCAGCCAGCTCACCATAGGAAGCTAGGCCAGACACTAATAGAGATCGAATAAGATTGTCGGGAGATTTGAGGATAGCACTTGTCTTTAATGAGTTATTTCTAAAATTGGAACACCTTTAGATAGGAAAGATAATAACCTTTAGAGATGGTAGGTTCCTGCAAAATGTGGAACAAAATAGAACTAGGAATAAACAGAATTATGCCTGCATTTAGAGCAGTCTGTGAGAGGACTCAGTTGAATTGTATTTTTCACTGAGAAGTGAATTTAAAAAAAAAAAATTATGATATCAATTCTCAAACTCTTGCAGGATGTATAATTTTTTTTTTTTTAACCTTTATGTGAAACATCTTTCATTAAATGCTTTCTGTAACTGTTGATATACACCTGTCTTAGTTTTTATCTGCATATAGCATCCAGTGAAAGTTTTTCTTACCAAATAACTATCATCAGTTAATATATTTGGGGATTTTGGGGTTAATAATTTTCAAGGAACAGTAACCCCCCCTTCCACCCCACCCTAAAAATTATGATTGTTGGTACATGGGGGCGGGGGGGGGGGGGGGGGGCTGTGAAAATATATGAATTATTTTAAGATTGTATTTCAGACTATATATTTAAATGTTGAGGATCATTGTGCACCTTTTGTCCATGCCTATATATCAGCATTAAGTAGGCAAAATTATTAACTTAAATTTTGT